CCTCAAAAGTGCCATTTTTAAATGAGATTTCAGCCGCCTTTAGAACTCACATCTCTACTCACTTGCTGAACTCTGAACCACTTGCAATTATCCAATGATGCCATAGTTTTAAATCTCCAAGCTAAGCCCTCTGCACCTACTGAATACCCAGTAATCATTCAAGGTCCAACCTACAAGGTTTGAATCAACAACTCTAGGTGGAATGTCCTCAGACACTTGATCAGCAGACATCACACTGTACTCATTACTTGTTAATATTCTTGCCTCTCACTTTAAAGCACAAGATTGTAAAAGGCCAAGATTATGTCTTACATATCCTTACATCCACAATACTGACACAAACAAGACATCTATTTTATTCTCAACAAATCTCTACCAACTCTTGACAGTTGTAGACCGTGGCACCTATTCTTTCTTGTAGTCCTACATTTTCTTCAATGTTCACTTTCAAGAAACAATCTTAGATGATAAGATTAAACAAATCCAAATGAATTTATGTAGAATAAGATTTTAGCAAACAAACATACAAAACCTAAAAAACAGAACAATAAAAAATATTTGTCAAGTCTTTGTCAATAAAACAAAGGCTGAGTGACAGAAGAGTAGTTACTTCTTGGACTTCACAGAGTCAAAATTATTTAGCTCCACACCTGCTCATTAGTCCATCCTGTTTCTCTCAATGGCAGATGAGAGAAGTTTTTCTAGCATCTACAAACAAGAATTATTTATTGCTGGAAAAAGCCTAAAGATAAATATATATATATATTTTTTTATTTCACAAGATAAATCATGTATAGGCTCCAAACTGTTGTAACTTTAAAATCTCCTTAAATAAATAATCAGGTCAATTACATGATTCTTGGACAAATTCGGGGAGACTGGGATCTGGAGGCCTCCCTGTGACCTAAGGCTGAACTTAACCCACAATGGCCAATGTTATACATACTATTTTTGTCTAAGTGGATACAGTTATTTGCCTTTTATTTTTAATTTAATCTAACACACAATGAACCTGCCTACAGAGATTTATGATATGATCTACATCTTCTAATTTCTTCCCTGGAGCCACTCCCACACATACATCATACACAATTTCACCACTGGAATAAAGACAATTTAGAGATTGTGATGGTGTTGGTGAAGTACACAGGCAATGAAATTTTAGCATAACAGCCAGATGTAGGTCTGTGGTAGATTCTTCTCTGGCTTTCTTAAAGCTTGGCACAGCATAAAAAGAAAACAAAGATCGTATGTCATTACCATTGGTCAATAGAAGAATATCATTATGTCATCAACAGCTTTATCATTAGTCACTGAATTTAAACTTAATTTTTGACAACAGTGGTCAGACTAACACCCTGTAGAGGTTAGTTGTTGTTGTTGTTGTTGTTACATGCCATAAAGTCGTCTCCGACTCATAGCAACCCTCCTTGGTTTCCGAGCCAGTATCACTATAGAAGTAGATTGCCTAGTCTTCCTTCCAAGT